ACTGTGCCTTGTCTAGACTGTGTTTGAAGGATACTTGACATGTACTCATCAGGTGTAATTAGCAATGCTTTTATTTTAGGTATTTATTGGTGGGTGCCCTTGGCACTGGGTCCTCTCATTGCGACACCAGACAAAACACATTTAACTCCTCTTCCTGACAAACAGGAGGAAAGAGCTCTTTGTGAAAGACTCAGCGTCTCCACCTCACTTCTTTGAGGGCTGTGGATGCTGTGGCTGAAGGGGTCAGCCTATTATAATGTCATTCTCCCAGTCTAATTATTTGACCCTCATTTAACACAGGGAAGTTGTGATTTGATAGGGAAGAATAAGTAGAAGGAAGTGGTAGGGGTGGGAGCCATCATTTCACACCACAATGCAGCAGGAACTGTAGTTAAGGCAGGTGAAAGAGGAGGGGAATGTCTGAGCATAGCAAGGAGGAAGGAGAGTTGTGTGGAAGCACTGTTTATCTGAGCCACAGACAGGGGGGCCCCACTTAGCTTTGAGCAGATGAGGGGGAGCTGTGCCCTTCCCCTCTTCCCCCCCTTTATTTGAATCCTGGGCCTTATGACACGGGAAACAACATCAACAAAAAATCCTATGCAGCTCACTTTGGAGAGCAATTTGATGGCTAGATGAGTTCTTTTAGCGAGACGGCTGCCCCACTCCAGCAGGGAAGGGGTTAAAGCAGGCTGGCAAGAGGCTGCAGAGCCCCAGCCAATCAGGAAAAGGCTCACTGGGGGCCAGTTGGAAGGTGGCTTGCTGGGGCGTCCCGGTTATAAAGATTGCGCTGCTGGGTCCTGACCATGGAGGGTGCAGGGCTGGCTCCTTGCAAGGGTGAGGCACCTGGAAAGAGCAGTGCCAGGCAAGCTCAGTGTAGCTGGCGAAGGGCTCCAGCCTGATACCTGCAGGCCTAGATACAAGGGCCAGGAGAGTGCAAGGGTCACAGGGAAGTGGCCCAGGGAAAGGGAACATGAGCCGTTAAGGGAAAGTGAAGGAGGACAGGACAAGGCTGCTGCCAGAGGGTGCCTGAGTGGGCCTTGGCCCTGTCTTGCCCCACACCAACAGTATGGCCTGTGTAGACTTTGACTTGCCCCTGAGGCAAGGGGCTAGACTTTGCAGCCGCAGTTGGCCACAGTGGCAGGTGTAGAGACTGAGGACTGCTGATACTCCCGCAAAAGGGGTGAGTGACTGGAGTAGGGGGCACTGCTGGAGGGCAGTGTCCCGAAGAGGACATTGTGGTCCTGGGAGAAACATGGGTCCAAGGAGAGCCAGCAGAGTGACGAGCAAGACACTGGCCAGAAGAGGGGGCCCTGTGGAGTGTCAGAGCGAATGCCCTGTGGGACCAGCAGCAGGAAGTGCCATTGTGGTGAGTCTCGACCCCTTCCTGTTCTGAAGCAATGACCCTGATCACTAGTTGTCCTTAAAGGTGCCATGACCTTTTAATCAGGGCGGGAGTGGGACTTGCCCCTGTATCCTGGCCGGATTCGACTTTGGCAATGGCATTCTCTCATTACATTTCCCTCTAACAAGTGGTTAGATTCTTTTTCACCCACTGTCGTAAGCTGTTGGGTATCATTACTGTTCATGGTTAGACTGTTGCTCCTCCTGTCCTAAGGTTGCTGCATTTTAGACAGGTCTGATGGATGTAGTGGTCCTTCTGCATTTCAGCTAAAGACACTGATTCTCCATGGCTGCAAAGTTAAGGGAGGTGTGAGGGTCTTCCTATATAGGCCCCTTTGTGAGATCAGGGCTGATGTTTGTATGGAATGCTTTAGAGTACAATATGTGCTTAAGATCATTATTAGCAATATACAGGAAGAAAGTCAGTATTGTGTCAGTTTTGGAAATACAGGTTGAACCTCTCTAGTCCTAGGATACTGAACATGGATCTCAACTTTCCCCAAAACATTGTCTCCTGTTTCCCAAGCAACCACTTCAGTTGCCTTTTACATGCTCACATGTGCAAGAAGGGGAAGAGGCACTTAGCCCACTGTTCACCAGGGAGCACCTCTGCTCTGTCTTCCAAAAGACAGAGTCACCTTGTCAGCAGGAGCTAAATTGGGTCTTTCCACATTCTGAGTTCCCATCTCATTGTCAGTATTGCCAACTTCAAAAGAGCAAAATTCATGTATCAGACCCCCCCAGAATCATGACCCTCCGCTCTCATATCTTCTTGTGCAACAATGCACAGTGTAGACATAGCCCTAGTGTATAGAGGAGGGCAAGCTCCCTGATCCTTCTCCCCAGTAAGAGTGCCCAGTTGTCAGAGTGGGGTGAACTCCAAGTGTCTAGCAGAGAGGAAGAAGCAGATGGAGGGCATAGGGCACACTTTTTTATGGCCATTCATTTTTAAGGATCACTCTAGCCCAGGAGTAGCCAACCAGTTAGAGACGAAGAGCCAAAATAGCTGTGGATAGAATGCAAAGCTACACGTATTATATATTTATTTTTATATATCTATCTATATAGATATAGTACACAAAATGTAGTGATAAAAATAACATTACAGGACATTTCAGACAAAAACCAATAAAAAAGTCTCTAGTCACTTAAAAAATTCACGGCCAGTCCATAGATCTTCAGAGAACTTGAGAAGGAACAAATATCAAATTAATAAAAGAAAACCCTTTAAAATATCCTCACACACACACAAAAAGCATCCCCCACCATGTATTTTAAATTTAACATTACTGCCCTATTATGTCCTGTGAGGTTTTTTTAATTAAACTGAACTGAGAAGTAAATTAGCACAATTTGAAGTGCCTGTTTCACTCCAGCTTGTTGATCTCTGGTATGGTTTCCTCATTTTTTTTTTTTACTTATGAAGATTATGGCTTTTCTTATAGTTCTAAAAATTTATGTCTGTCCCAGACTGCAAATATGAGAGGTTCAAAAACAATAAGGGTACGTCTAGATTACATGCGGGCTCAGCTGATCATGGGCACAGCGCACGAGTCAAGACGCGGCTCGGTCGACAAGGGAAGCCTTTGTCGACTGCTCCCCTATGCCTTCCTTATGCCTGCAATGAGGAGTAATGGTAGTTCGAATTAAGAGTGTTAATTCGAACTACCTAGCCTGTGCCATGTGTAGCCGCGGGCAGGTAGTTCGAGTTACCAGGCATTTAAAAATGGCGGCCGGAAGGGAACATGCAAATGAAGCCCGGGATATTTAAATCCCGGGCTTCATTTGCAAGTTCGAATGCCTACATTAGCCACCCTAGTTCGAACTAGGGTGGCAGTGTAGCCATACCCTTATTCTGCATGCATGAAGACTTTGAGTTTAAGGTGCGTCAGCCCCCCTGCTCTAATCCAATGCCCCACCCTTCCCCCAGAGCCAGGCACCCTGAGCCCCCTGCTTTAACCCAATCCTCCTCCTCTCCCCCAGAGCCAGGCACCTCCAGACCCTCTGCTCTAATCCAACCCACCCTCTCTTCCAGAGTCAGGCACCCCAGACCCCCTGCTCTATTCCAATGCCCTTCCCCTCCCGCAAAGCCAGGCACCCCCTGCTGTAACCCAATCCCCCTCCTCTCCTCCAGAGCCAGGCACCCGCAGTCCTCCTGTGCTAATCCAATGCCCCACCCCTCCTCTCCCCCAGATCCAGACACCCCCAGCTTTCCCACTCTAACCCAGTCTCCCACCCCTCCCACAGAGCCAGGCACCCCCAGCCCCCCTCTCTAACCCAATGCGTCACCCCTCCCCCTGAACCAGGCACTCCCAGGATCCCCCGCCCCCGGCTCTAACCTAATTCCTGGGTCTCACCGGAGCTGCTGCCACTGCCACCACATGCTTCTACCTTCAGGTGCTAGGGCATGTGCGCAGAGCAGCTGGCCATGAGTCGTCTGGGCGCCTGGATCAGAACTAACAAGAGCCACATTTCTTTGAGCAAAGAACCGTATGTGGCTCGAGAGCCGCGGGTTGGCCACCCCTGATTTAGTTCCACCACCTCCATCTTGGTCTGTCCAAAGCATCTACCTCTCCACTCCCCCAAGGCCAGTGGTATTTTATATGGGAAGGATAATACTGTTTGCATCCAAACCCACTTAACACCACAGAATTACCCTCATTTTGGAAGAGACTACAAATTTTGAATTTTGTTTTTGGCTACAAACTTCTGCCATCAGTTAGAGGGGCATATTGTCTAGTGGTCAGAGCATGGCGTGAGCACCCACAAATTTATGGACCTACTCCCGTTTTTCCACTGCTTGGCTAGTCCCTGTGTTAGACTCCAGGGAAACTCCTAATGCAAGGATCCCCCTCAGATTAGTTGGTCTAAGTGGCTTCAGCATTAATCCTTTGTTTATACACCTGCATTGCAACACAAAAGAATCCCAGAGCTTTAACTGGCAATAAAGGGAAGTGCTTTAACCATACAATATCCTTTATGACTCTGGATGCAGTTACTGTGTGATGCCTTCAACTCCTTCTGTGTGGAGTTTCAGCCTACTGGATTATACAGCAATGACCTCTAAAAAACAAACCCTTATCAGTGTCTCCTAATAGGCCAGCCACAACCGAATTCATGAAACAGAAATCACTTGCTAACCATAGAGATAGCAATCAATATATAGACATTCAATATAGCACTCAATATTGATCATGTAGCATTAATATACATTTATTATCTAATGAATTGTACAAATGCGTGTGGCAGTGACAAATGACTAAATGCATATTGTGCTTACTGCACTATACCAGCTGATCTGGGTAGGCATCAAACACAGACAGAAAATTGCCTCACCTCTGAAGCTAATTTTAGTCTCTCCTATGTAACGCTGCATAGATAAAATCTCTGCTAGTCTGACAGTGATCCAGCAACCTGTGCCGTGCACAGAGCAGGGTGCACTGACGAGCCATCTACTGCATGGCACGGGTTAACAGAAGCTGTGGGATTGTGCTTACCTAAATAAAACCACTGCAATGAGGGGGAAAACAATGAATGGGTGGAGATGTTCAGCCAGTAAAAGCGGAGGCATTCCAGCTAGTGCAGTCTGGGCTGCAATGACAGGCTGAAGGTTGCAGCAGGCAGCATCAGGATCTGCATTCAAAGTGAGTGAATCTTACGTTCTGGAGTGAGCTTGTTTATTTGCTGAGACATGGCCAGTAACCAGGCCAGCCTGCAGGATGAGCAAAGCAGGCATTGTAAGTTCTTATCCTATATGTTCTACCAGGCTGTAAGAGACCACAAACCTGTGTGGATGCTGGAAGATATGAGAACTATGGAGTATTTTTACTGGGAGGAAAATGCCAGCCTGAGAACCTATTCACCTTCGGAAGCACTTCTCTATGCAGTGGTGCATAATCACCTGCCTTATGCCCAGTATTTGCTGTCTCATTTTCCAGAGGAGGCTCTCAAGGTGCCTGGAGAACATTTCTGCTATTGCCCGTCTTCTGCGCCTCATTTGGCCATGGCAGTAACATACGACAGGAGGGACATTTTGGGGCTGATCATCAAGATTGCACACAAGCTACCCAGCCTTAACTCCTACATCAACAGGACTGGCTGCTTTCATCTGGAAGATGGAAAAACCCCACTGCACCTTGCTTGCGAACTGCTGAGGTCCGAAACTGTCCTCATCCTCCTAGGAAATGGGGCTTCTCCCAGGATCGAGGACAGCAAGGGGCTCACCCCATTGGATGTCATCCTGGAGCAGATGTGGGACTCCAAAGTTAACGTGGCATCAAAAAAACTCTGCCTCGATTACCTCTTGCTCTTCATGCCTAATCCACAGTTTAAGATGCGGAAAGTTCTGCAGGATCATCCCGATCACTGGACAACTTTGCTAGGAGAAGACAAATTCAACAGCCTGGTGGGGAACACACCCGCCTCTTTATACCTGCAAGCTATGCAAACTATTCTCCAGTCTCTCCCACCTTCCCATTTTCCTAAAAGCATCCAGGAACTACCTATACCTCAGGCACTAAAGCCCCTACCTTCCTATGGCAAAAAGCTACAGACAAAAAATGTGGTAAATGTTTTTCCTTGACTATTTTTGGGGGGTTGGATTTTCAAAGGCTCCTAAGTGGGTTAGGCACTGACCTCCCCTAGAATTTCAATGAGATATTGGTACCTAACTCCTGTAGGTCCCATTTGAAAATCCAATATTTTATGATAAGGTTTTCAATGTTTTTCTAATTCATTGCAGGCACGGCACTTTTAAAAAGCAAAATCCTTCCTTTTTTGTGGTGCATGTGAAGGGTTAAGTATAATTGAAGCAATTTTTTTAACTGTCAGCTGAAATCAATGTATCGGAATTCCCAATATATTAACATTACCCTGTGTAAATTATGCTGGCAAAAAAATGACCTATCCATTGGAATTTTCAATGACTAACTGTGGAACTGGGTTCTACCAGCAGGATAAAAAGCACCAAGGGGGTGGAGATGTTGGGTCTCCTTTCTGCTCTAGTAATGAGGAATCCTATGGCTGGCAGGACTCACTGCAGTCTGCAGTGGTACTGAGTCAGTGCTGCAGAATAATATTGCATTTCCTCTGAGTCAGAGGCTCTTGCTCAGAGGATAAAGACAGGTAGCATATTGATGAGAAGGCACCCTTTCTTATTTGGGGGTGCATGGGTTAAAGGCTATCCCAGTGCTGAAGCTGCTGTAGAATTGCACAGAGAGGAGGGAACCATCTTTCATGCTGTTCAGTGATGGCAGAACCAGTGGAAGTCCACCTTTAATGAGTGACATTAGTTCCCCTTGACTTTTGTTTTAAGGGGTGATGAGACCCCCGAGAAAATTACAGCTATGCCTGTGCCTTGATTTAGAAATTTGTATCCAAGCCACCTGCCTTTGTTAATTACTTAAAGATGGTATGTGGTATTTTGCTGCTATAAATCGTCAGCATGGCAGATTAGGTCATTCATCCTTAAACCACAGAAAAAAGGCCCAATCATGCAGGGGGTGATGTTCACTGGATTGGTCCCATAAGGTGATGTAGACTGCCTTGAAGTCCCAAAGGAACTGAGGGGACTCCCCTTGTTAATTAGCCAGTACCTTGCCAGCGGGGAATATTGCTCCCCACACCTCTAACCACAATCAAAGCAGCCTAGTGAAATCGTGATGCAGCAGCATGCCACTCTAATGCCCTTTGCAGCATAGTCAGTGTGTAGCCATGAAGTTATTTCAGCCAAGGTAGTCTCATCTCTTCCAATTTAACTCTTTTCTTTACTCCCCAGCCCCAAAAGGAACCCTATTTGTAGGGTGTGAGAGATATACTCAGTGATAGGCAAAGGGCATAATTACACTGTCAGTGTTCAGAAGGTTATGAACAAGAACTGATATGCAAGGGAGTGGTCTGCTATATGACTCACTGAATAGGCCACTTGTTACATGTATCGATGACCTACATCTGAGACCGTGAAACGCTGAGCTATGTTCTCCGTTGGTATAAATGGGTGCAGCTTCGCTAAAGTCAATGGATGCAGCCCCTACAGTGATAGTATGGAAAGCAGCACTCTGTGTATTTGGATGGCACAATACTAAATAACTGGGCATGCCCGGGGGAGGTGCCCCAATGGGCTGCTGACTGGGTATGTCCATATGGAGCATCTCTGCGGCATGTAGTGGGTACATCCAGCTAGAATGCTCCAGTTCTGCTACTGTACATACTATTCCAGTGTATGGCACTTTCTGCAATGCTGATTGTAAGTGCAGCTTAACACCCTTTATCATCACTGCCAAGTGAAGAAAATGCCAGCACGGCCTTTTCAATGGCAGAACAGCAGTGACAGGGTTAACCTATTTCCCTGCATGTCCCTTATTGTGGCATCTCCAGGAACAAATAGTTCCTTTTTCATGTATTCCTTTTGGGCAGGGCAGCTGGTGGGAGTGGAATTCTGTGAAAGCCTCAATTCCATTTTTTGTGTGTGCAAAGACACAGCCTCTGCAACACATGCTGGCAGAGCTGAAGGCTGTCACGGCTGAGGGGTGTCTTTCCCATGAAGCGGAGCCAAGTGGAAGGTAGATTAGCATAATAAGTGCTTGCCCAGCCAACCCTGCCAGTCTGCAGAGAGTGTGCAGGCACCTACAGCCATAAGCAGTCATCAGGCCCCAATGTCACAGCGTGGGAGGGGACAAAGCAGATGATCCACCCCCAAGGCTGCTGAACTGACAGAACAATAGCACAGCTGCTAAAAGCCCCTGCTGGAGTCAGTGGGAGCCAGATCAAGCTCCACTACGCTGGAACTGCTGCTGATTTTGATGTCAGTGCGGGAGAGGGGGAGGCAGTGGGTAGGAATATTAAGATGCTAATTAAACTCCTGCAACAGAAAATCCATATTAACAACAGCAGAAGGAAATTCGTCAGCTATGTTCACGCTCCCTGATAGCGTTAGACCTTCAGTGCAAAACAGAGCTTCAGAAAATCCACTCCAGCTAGTGTGGGTGGGTGGATTGTTTCCACACTGTTAGTAGGGATTGATTGTGTGAACAATTTGGTATTTCCCAGTAACACATGGGGAAATTCACTCCTTGGCAGAGGGCTAGAACTAATGCATATGGCACAAGTGGGCCTTGAATGTGGGCCCTGTGAACAGGTGCAAGTTTCACTCACTGCAGGGGTCAGAGCTTAGGTTCCCCACTGCTCCAGTCTATGAAGATGTCTTCAGTTTGCCTAGTTGAGGAAGTTCAAGGGTAGTGTGATGGTTGTGAGAAGCTGCCCTCTGCCAGCTGGCCTGCAGCAAGAAGAAATATCTTAGCAGCAGCAGAAAAAGGAATTCTCCTGTAGCTCAAACTATGGTGTTATAGCAGCTTAGATCCATATGGGTCGAAAGTTGCTAGTATCTGATGTGTGTTCATTGCTCTGCACGCAATGAGTTTGGTGTCCTCAGCCCAATTCTTGATGAGCAGAAATCTGAATCAAAGAAATCACTACACCGGTCTTCAGTTTGCTCCTTTGTTGGTAGTCTTAGCAGAGTGAACAAAGACCAGATAGGTCATGGAGGTCGATCTACCATTTGACATCTAGAGGTGTTCTTAGGACCAGGGATTGCGGACACTGGCTGACCAAAGTGGAGAGGCTGGTGCTGTTGCTGGACCGGTTGTGATGAGGAAACCACCAAAGGTGGGGTTGTTTTGATGGAAGGGAGGGAATTTTTCCCCATCCTAGTTCACCTATCTTTCGCATTGATTTGTCAGCTCATTTTGATCTCCCATGTGTCTTCCTTTGCTGTAAGGATATTACACCTTACATGGCAAAATCTACCTCAGCTTCATCGCAGTTTTCATCGACCTTGGGTGGGAGGGGGGATCCCTATGCATTGTTCTTAAGCCTGCTCATGAGCAAAATTAAATTCTAGATCTGTTAAACAATCCCTCCATCCCATAGGCCCATAGCCTTGAATCGTCCCGGAGGAGAAAATTCCCTGCACTTGCATGATATCTATATTAGTGATTGTATTTTTTTAACAAGAAAAGGGGTGCTAGATGCCATTTAGCAATGTTTACCTTTGGCATTAAAAATTCATTGAGTCTAATTTAAGATCTTTGTTTTTAAACTTTGGAAAGAATAAGACAGAAAAAGACGGGAGGGAAAAATGCGTGCCTGGCCCTGGATGATCAGTAGGCTCAGCAGGATTTGATTTTTAACTTATTTCTATGACTATAGTTGGAAAGGCCTAACTTGTGTAGGTGTGCATGTGTGTATACCACAGCACTTCCAGAGCTGCTGACGACGGAGTTTCTGGGATAAATTCATCAATGTTTGTGAGATACTCAGATCTTTCAGTGATCAATGCCTTAAAGCCTATACATTAAATCAAGAAAACAGTTTCATATGCCTGGCAAGCTACTGGTTGCAGCTAAGGAAGTTTCGTCATCTGCTGAAGTGGCAGTGGCCTGTGCTCTTGAAGCAGGAGCTCCGCCCCTGAATACCACGTGGCAATGGATTAGAGCAGCACTTCTCAAATTGTAGGTCGGGGTGGGGAACCTTTTTTGGGTCAGGGACCGCTGACCCACAGAAAAATCAGTCGGGTGCCAGTAGCTGTGGGGAGGTAGTGGGGGGATGGAGTGCCAGTGTGGGCTCCCCAATGCTGGGGGAGGCCCTAAGCCTTGGGTACCAGATCTAGGCAACCCAGAGGTCACATACGGCCCCAGGCCTTACGTTCCCCACCCCTGTTGTAGGTCATCATGACTGCATTTAATAGGGTCCCCAGGGCGCTGTTAGACTTGCTGGGGCCCAAGGCCAAAGTCTGAGCCCAAAGCCCACTGACAGGAGGGGGCAAGGAGGCAACTGCTCCAGGGCTTGGCAATTATAAAGGGCCTGGGGCTCTTGGCTTCTACTGTGACAGCAGCGGTGTCCAGAGCCCCAGGTCCTTTAAATCGCCGCAGACGTGCTTTGGGGCAGCTCTACGGCCGGGCAGGTGATGCACTTATCTGTGCTCTGGCCCTGCCCCTTCTGCCCAAAGCCCTGCCCATTCCAGGAGCAGGGGTGGCAGTGCCCCACCCCCACCTTGCCCAGGGACCCAGCATGGCTGTCAGCTCTCCTGTTGAGCCCCACTCCCTGGGGTCAAAGCTCAAGGTCTTCTGTCCCCTGGGTGGTGGTGCTCAGGTTTGGGCCCCCTGCCCAGGTTGGACAGCAACTTTTCTTGTCAGAAGGGAATCATGGTACAGTTTTGAGGAAACCCACGGTTAGAGCATAGTGACAGGCATAACAAATCCATGGGTGCTCAATTATCATGTCAGCATCTATTTGAGTCTCCTCCCCCCTTTTTTTATTGAAATAAAATCTTTTAAGTGGATACCCCCAGTTTCCATTTCTGTCGCTATGCAGATGAACAAGCAGGCTCCTGCCTCTGTGCTGCCCAAGAACTGTGGCTTCTTGGTGCCATTGTCAAACCACTAACAGCAAAGGGACAAAGCCCCTGAGAACTTGTCTAAAATATTGTTCATCTATCTACATGTTCATTAGCATTGATGGCCATTTGTCTTCCTCTGTCCATTTTGGGGTTCAGTGAGAAACTGACAAATGCTGATGTTTACTGATTGAACTGAATCCAGCTAAGCCTAAGTGCAAATGAATGTTCGCTGTGTGATTCGACTTTCTTATAGATTAAAGCCATACTTTATAATTTATGTTTCTCTCTTGTTTAATTTTATTCCACATGGCTATTTGTACATTACTCTCTGCACGGTAAAAATGAAATGATTGCCTGTATTGAAACTAAAATATTTATATCACAGCTATATCAACTATGAAGATTATTTAATCTGTATTACTGTAATAAACTTGCAGTATAAACTGGAAGTGTCTTTTTATTGCCTATTGAGTCAGGAACATCTGGCAATGGCTGTTCCTATTTTAGCTAGTTTTGTTCGTTGATTATCTTATGCTGAATATTAGATCCCCTTGAATGTGATCTGTGGAACCAAGTCTTTTCTATATGGCTTCATAACATGTGGATGTGTCATGAGAGGATGATCCTGTCATAGGATCACCACCATCAGAAAGGAGCTCAGCACAAAAGGAAGGCGGAGATAAGGTAAGTGGCCGACTCAAGGGATTGGCAATGTGATGTGGAGTCTTTTGCCTTGGGGTCACTGGTTTGAGCTCAGCTTGGTTATGACTATTTGTTCCCATCTGATGGGAGTATTATGGTGCAGAGAGGCTGCTTTCCCAATCTGCTGTATGGCTGCAGCCTACAAACGAATTCCCTTCCTGGGATTTGGATTCACTAACGAAGCAATCAACAATAAGGCAAGAAAATTCAGCTCCTGTGGCTGCTGCTGGAGTTCCTCTTTCAGGACTGCTCAGCCTCCCCACCAGAGTCATTCTCCCCTGCCAACAAGTATGAGTCAGCAAAATTCACTTAACCCTGTCCCAGCAGGATCAAGACCTGCAGTACTGACTGGAGTGTTAGGCAAACAGGGTCAGACTTCTGACAGATTGCAATCTCTCAGGGTACGTCTAAACTACATGGCTCCGACGATGGAGCCATGTAGATTTGTTTGTTTGGCAAAGGGAAATGAAGCTGCGATTTAAATAATCGCGGCTTCATTTAAATTTACATGGCTGCCGCGCTGAGCCAACAAACAGCTGATCAGCTGTTTGTCGGCTCAGTGCGCTAGTCTGGATGCTCCCCTGTTGAAATGAAAGCCTTTTATTGACATCCCTGGTAAACCTCATCCTACAAGGCATAACGGGGATATCGATAAAAGGCTTTCAGGTCGGCGCGGAGCGTCCAGACTAGCGCGCTGAGCCGACAAACAGCTGATCAGCTGTTTGTTGGCTCAGCGCGGCAGCCATGTAAATTTAAATGAAGCCGCGATTATTTAAATCGCAGCTTCATTTCCCTTTGCTGATCTGTCTAATCTACATGGCTCCATCGATGGAGCCATGTAGTCTAGACACACCCACAGTCTCTCCCCAGGTGGCCTTGCAAAACGTTTTGTCCCTGTTTCAGTGAGCATGGGGAAGCCCAAATGTAAAGGGGAATTTCAGCTTTTGATTTTTAAATAAAAGTTTCCGTTCTATTTCCTCTGAAACCAAAATCTGTCTCCAGGATTGATCGGAACGAGGACCAGTGTGGTGTGTTTTCAGCAGCAGGTACCTGAAGAGCCCCTGCTCACACAACGTTTACATGTGAGGTATATCTCAAATAACAAGTTCCTCAGGTAGCCCTCTGCATAGTGAGTGTGACAGGAGATGGACAAAAAACCTACTTTACTGGCCCCCAAAGGCAAAGATCATAGCTATTTTGAATTAAGTGCTCCAGGGCACAACCAGGAAAACTTACTCTCCTCTCCCCCAACCCCAGAGCCATTAAAGGGGTAGACCCTGGCCACAGTGCCTGTGCCAGCTCCAAGACTGCCAGCCCAGAGCCAGCAGTGGCCACCGGAGCCCCTGACCCAGTGGCCCCAAAACATGAGCCAGCAAGCCACTGGTAGCCAGCCCTCCACCGCTCCCCAGGAGCAGTCTGCCAGCTTCCAGGAGCCTGACAGGGGCTGGAGAAGGCAGGAGCCTTCCTTGTCAAGGGTGGAGATCATGGACATTATTCAGGTTTGGGGAGGATGCCCCCAACTTCCATGATCTCTGCAGTAGACGGAGGAACGCGGCCATCCATGGCAGGATAGCTGCCATCCTGGCCACCGAAGGCTACATGTGAACCCAGGAGCAGGTTAGCATGAAAGTCAAGTTGGTCTGGCAAGACCCCCAACCCTGAGTTTCCCCTTCCCCTTCTTCCCCTTGCTTCCCCCTTCCAACTCCCTCCTCCCAGGTTTCCCCTTCCCCCCTTCCACCCTTTCTTTTCCCCTCTCCCACCTCTTTTTCCCAGTTTCCCCAGAGGTTCAACCTCCTCCCCAGTTTTGTTCAGTAAATCCAGTTTGTATTTTTGAACATACGTGTCTTTTATTTGTCATCAGGAAGGGGGACTAGGGAGGGGTAAGTGGAAGGACGTGACGGAGGAATGGGGCACGAGCCCCCGGTGGGGAGGACTGGGGAGGCTCTGAGGGCTCCTCAGGGTGGATGCTCTTCCTCAGGGCCTCCTGGATCCTGACAGACCCCCGATGGATCCCCCGGATGGCAGCCTGCAGCAAATGCAGCCGGGCTGATGGCAACGACCCCACGAGACGCACCGGCATGCCCAGGGGCAGCTCTGGCTCCATGTGGCCGAGTGCTGTGGTGTCCCGAGTTCGGGCCCTCCGGGCACTCCAAGATAGGACTGCTTTGCTGTCCCTCATCGAGGTAGACAAACAAGCGGGGAACCCTGAAAACTGTCTGTCTGGGGTGGGGTCCCTTTAAGCACGGAGCTCAGTTAGCCTCAGGCAGCAGCCCCACACACTAAGTCCTAACCTGATGCTCTGCCGGCACTGGATCCAGCCAGCCTTACCTTCGATTCAGGGTCCACTCAGTGTGGACGTGCTATTTCGAAATAGCAAAACGCTATTTCAAAATAGTTTTTGTGTATAGACGCGTTATTTCGAATTAGCTTAATTCGAATTAACTATTTCAAATTAAGTTAATTCGAAATAGTGCTGTAGTGTAGACATACCCTTACTTGCATGAGCAGTCTTTCTGCTGGGATAAGGAATTGGTTGCCAAAGGGAACAAACTAGAAAAGTAGGAGAAATGGTATCACCATTATACCACCTTCAGTCAGCACTGCCAAAAGGCAGCCCCAATTGGAACGACGTCTGCAGCCAACCATGACTCAGCTGAAGTGCCTGCCTCAGCTTCCCCTCGCAGGTAACCCAAGAACTGGATGCCAGTCCCAGTAACACCCCTTCTGGGGGTTGGATTATTACAAAAATACTGATCAAATAATCCCCAACAAATTGTCCCAAACATACTCTATATTGGGGTGAGCAAAAGGGCCTCCGCAGGCCATATCTGGCCTGCCAAGCAGTTGATCTGGCTCGCGGATGCCCTGCTGGTCCCCTGCCCACGGGCCAATTAGGGGATGCCACACACTTAGAAGCATGACACGCCCCTGGCAGGGTGGGAGGAGACTTTGTGCACTCCTCCGCCCCCAAGCCCTGATTGGCCTGGAGGTGGGGGAAATGTGCAAAGTCTCCTCCCACTGCCAGGGGCATGGGTGCCAAGGGGGAACCTCGGAGGGAGAGGGGGGACAAAGACTTCACACGCTCCCCCCTCCCAGACCAATCATGATCTGTGGGAGGGGAAGCAGGGAAGTATCCTCGCTCCTCTCCTCCTGCCTGAGGTCCTGCCCCTTCTGGTCCAGCCAGGGGCCACTTCAAAAATTTCTGAAATGGCCTGCGGCAAAAAATTGCTCACCCCTGCTCTATATCATCCCCAATGCATCTAGTTCTTACAACCCTGCTTTTATCAGAATGAGCCACTTACCCCCTCCAAGCCTATCTGCTGAGACTGGTTTCATGCCAGATTCTGATATTTTCCACCTCATTTAGGCTCCTTATTGGCTGCTGCTTTTTTTTGATCCATGCAATCCTGCTCTTCCCATGTGGGAAGGCCATCATGACCCAGGGAGCGTCCTTTACTCCCCCATGTTTTCTCACTAACCCTCTGGATCCAGCTGTCAGATGTGGAGAAATCAGGTAAGCTTCTCCTCCACTAGTCCTTATTAGCTTCAGCCCTCTGGCTTAGAGTCAGCTGGCACTCCCCTCTGCTTCTCCTCCTGCCTTCAGCTGTCTCAAGCCTTCTCGGTTGGGGAGGTCAGTCAGCAAACCCCTCTTGTTCTCCTTGGCTCCACAGGTCCCAGACTCACCACATCTCCTTCCCTCCCTCTCTTATGATTCTCCACACTGGGTCATACCAAGGATCCATCTAGCCCTATTTTCTGTCTTGCAACAGTGGCCCATGCCAAGTGCCCTACAGGGAGTGAACAGACAGGTAATCAAATTCCCAGCTTCTGACAAACAGAGGCCAGGGATACCATCCCTCCCCATCCTGGCTAATAGTCATTGATGGATCTAACCTCCATGAATTTAGCTAGTTCTTTTTTGAATCCTGTTAAAGTCCTAGGCTACATCTACACTGTAGCCTTCTTGTGGAAAAGCTTAGGCAAATGAAGCTTGACGTGGAATTGCCACGCTTCATTTGCATAATTAATGAGCAGCCGTTTTTGCACAAGAGGCTTTTGCACAAAAAAGAGCAGTGCAGACATCTTTTTGCGTAAAACCCCCCTCTTGTGCAAGAGCCATTCTTCCTCATTTTTTGACAGCCCCCCCAGAAGGACCCTACTTGATAATCCTTACTCTGATAGTGAATTGTTGCTAATTTCTCTAACTACAATATGAGCAGGTTTTCAAATGTTATACACTCACCTTATAATAATTTAAACTAGGGCACAGGTTCCCACGTGACTACTTTTTTATGCACTCCCTCTTCTCACCCACGACTCCCCTTCCTGTCAGACAACTCCTACCTGCCTGGGACAGGAAGTGACTCATAGAAAGAGTGGGCTGACTCAGTCCTCAGCAGAACCCATGGCCGGGCAGTGTGAAACAGGGCTCTTCACTTCCCTCCCCACTTCCTACATCCTCTTGCTCCCTTGAGCTCTGAAGAGTTTAAAATAGGGGGGTCTGCAGCTAGCCTGGGGAGACAGCACTCACAGTGGTCAGAGGGGAAGAAAGGGAAACAGCAGGCTCCGGAAGGGGCCTGGCAGGGATCCCCCCACCACTGAAGAGTCCCCATTGCTCCCATGGTCCTGACTCCCAACCAACTAGAGCCCCTTTATCGCACCTTACACTTCCCCAGT